CTTTGCCCCCACTCCCAACCTCTCTACCTCCAGATTTTCCCCACCAGGGCTCCTTTCAGCTCCAGCACTCTCGCTCCGAGTTCAGCTTCCCTTCTCTGGAGGCAAATAGCCCATTCCACTCCAGAAAGTTTCCCCCACCCCAAAATTCCCAAGGCTAGTCCTCCTTCCCTCAACATCTCCTCTGACTCCGCGTACATGTCTAGCGGGGACATCTTGCTGACAAACGAGCGGATAGAGAAGAGCATCCCGTACATCAGCTTGAATTCCTGGAGGGAGAGAGGCACAGTTAGCTCTCGTTTGTTGAAGCAGACAAGCCAGGGTTTGGAGAGGTAGGGCTGGACTAGGACTATGTGCATCTGGAGATGCGAGGTCACCCGGTTGCGCGGGGCCCTCTCGTCACCTCCTCCTTGGGGATCCCCGCTTGCTTCTTGCGGTGCCACTCGCTGTAATGCAGACATACTCCATTTCGGTCAAACAGGTACAGGTTGTGGACAGTCATCTGCAGGGCACAGAGTGTGAGCCTTGCTCTGGAGCCGCCCACCCTCCGTGGGTTCCAGTGTTCCGTCCCGGATCCCTCCAACCAGGCGGGATCCCCCCTCCCCCAAACTCACCGGAACTGCTCCGAGTGCCTGTCACTAGATACTTCCGGTTTCCGCGGAGCCCCGCCCCACCGGTTCCTCACGCTGCGGCGGAGCAGTAACTGCCTCCGAACACCTCTCAGCCAATTCGTGGCCGTAGGGACCGCGCATGCGCGTCCAGGCTCTCGGGCTCCAGAAGCCATGAGCGGCCGCGAGCGAAATCCCGGACTGGTGACGTCATCGAGGCGAGCGAGGCGGGGCTTCAGCCGGTGGGCGGGCGGCTGCCAACGGTTTTGAGTGTAGGGAAGCGCGCGAGAGTGGAGGTCTTGGTCTTTCCCGGTGCGGGCTCGGTGGAGGGGGCTAGCCCTTGTCCTCACCTTGACGAATTGCGGGGCTGAGGACTGGAAGTGCGGGATCATTGGGACGGGGTAATCGCGGTAGAGCATCTCAGGCTAGGTTTGAGGGCGGCGTAGTTTTTTGGGACGTTCCGAGAGTGTGACTGAGTGTTCACAAGGTTTCTTTTGGGGTAGTAGGAAGGGAGGGATTCTAGGGGGCCTTGCCATGGTTTTCTTGCTAGGAAGGGTTGGAGGGGGTATACAAGAGAGTTGACCCTGGGTAGAAGGGTGCAGCGGGCTGAAGGGTGTGGGGAGCTTGACGTTCCTGCCTCTCTGAGACTGGAGCAAGTTGATGGGCAAGTAAGGCAGCTGGACGGAAATTAGGCCCCTATTGGATTTGGGTTTGTTTCAGTTTGCACGTCTGGGTGTGAGATAAGGGCTGAGTGGACCAGTGGTAGCCTGTGCCAGAAGTTGACCTGCAACTTTCAGCACTTCAGATGAACTACAGTGGTGCTTTTGCCCGGCAATCGGTCTTCTGTCCCCACTCACTGCTTGCTGCACCCTCCTTTTTCACAGTTTCCAGGAGCTGTGGAAAGAAATGCTTTTGCTCTCTCCCATGACCTGTGGTACCGGTGGGAACCTTTCCTCTAACCAGAAAGACTCCATACCCTTATTCACCAAGGTTCCTTGGCTTGGAGTCTTCCTCCTTTCTCCCAAATCTTCCTTTTCTGTGTACTTTCCCCACTGGGCTCTTCTGAAGCAGAACAAGGAATTCCCAGCTCTCCTGTCTCCACTTGTCTCTTGCCTGTACTTATGGCGACATCAGCTACCAGCCCCAGTTCACCTCTCCGGGCGGAGGATCTCCTGAGTGATTCATCAGAAGCCCCTGGGCTGAACCAAGTATCCTCTGAGGTCACCTCCCAGCTCTATGCTTCTTTGCACCTCAGTCGTCAGGCAGAGGCCACAGCCCGAGCGCAGCTGTATTTACCCTCCACCTCCCTACCGCCTCATGAGGGGTTAGACAGCTTGGCCCAAGAGCTGAGTCGCAGTTTGTCACTTGGATTGGAGAACAACTTGAAGAAAAAGATGAGGGAGGTGTGTCTGGGGGACCTCTAGGGTCTTGGGATTGGGGGTGGTAAAAAAAAACACACCTTTACTGAGACTTGAACTATCAGATTTCAAATTCCTTTTAAGTACAATCAGTATTGCTTGTTTCTGGGAGCAAATGTTTAGGAGGGGGAGAGTGGCCTAGGACACCACAATTTGGGAAATTGGGAAATTTCCCAGTGTTTTCTTTGTTAGCGATACCTGCACTGTGGGATAAGTTCCTGTGCTTTGACTGGGATTTGGGGACTGGGGGTGAGGGTGAGTTTTCTTCATTCTAAGAGGTAACTAGGGACTTAAGGATAGCAGCAAAATATGCTAAGATCCTTCCAGCTCAAAACTGTTATGATTGTGTGGTTCAAAATTAGGCATGTAAATCATTAAAACATAGTTTAACCAATTACACATGTTACAGAGAAGATAGTTATTAGTATTGCATAGAAAAGGTCTCAAAGCCAATTTGCAGACTGGTTAGGTCTTCCAGAGTCTGAAAAACTGATAGCCATGAGCTACACAGTCTTTAGGCAGGGTATTTGCTCTCCAGTTGGCAAGAATCCTCACCACTGTTGTCTTAATGTGCCAAATTTATTTACACTACCTGTCTAGCTTCTGTACACATTTGAGTATCTGACCCTTATTGGATTAGTTCTCTTGTTCTTTCTTTTCTAGGTGCTGCTGGGGTAAAAATTCGTGGGTTTTAGGGAGTACTGGATGCCATCTACCCTGGCAGTAGGTAGAATATAGATTATTCAAGTTGCTTCTGGTTTCTGTGTTACTTTTCTAGGATGGTTCCAAGCATATCTTTGAGATGGAAAGTGTTCGGGGCCAACTCCAGAGCATGCTCCAAACCTCACGTGATACAGCCTATCGTGAGTAAATCCCTTCCCTATAAAGGAGAAGCTATATTTAAGGGATGGGAGAAAGTAGAGAAAAGAAGTGGAATGTGAGGAGTACCTAGGCCTCTGACAAGATTTCAGGAGCAAAGGCTCCAGTTCTTTGGGACAGGGGCTGGAGGAGTGGGTGAAGTAGAAAGGAAGGCTCTCTGCTCTCTTCTCCTCCGAGTGGTCCCTGTTCCTATCCTTACCTGACCCTGGCTGTGGGATCCTTCTGGTTCTCTGCAGAGGATCCCTTTGCTCTAGGCGCTGGTTCAGAGAGACGGGAAGAAGACTCCTTTGACAGTGAAAGCACAGCCACCTTACTTAAGTGAGTTCTTGGGATTCTTCTAGCTTGCTTGCTTGCTTTCTTGGAAAGCCGAGTGTTCTGTTCCTTTGATCTTCCTTTACTGCTGTTGTACCTCTTCAGACCTAAGACACTTGTCACTTAGCTGTTAGTGTTATCCTTTCTCTCCTATCTGCTACCCCCGTTAGTCCTTCAGGAACGTGGGCATCTGCTGACTAGTACCTGGCCTTCTCCCAACCTCTAGTCCTCCTTCTCCCAGAAGAGTTAGCTTGCTTCTGCTGAGACGTTTACCACAGGGAGTGTGGCATCGAGAAAGGAGCACTATAGAGTGAATCAGAGAACTTATGTGCTATTTATGGTTCTATCACTACCTAACTTAAAAACTTCTTACCCTTTCTGAGTTTGTTTCCTCATTTGTAAAATGTCACAATTGGTCTAGTGGGTCTTAAAAGCTTTCCCAACCCTAATATTTCTACCTGATTTGCTCAGCACCCGGCCTCTGCAAGACTTATCTCCATCTAGCTCAGCCCAAGCCCTGGAGGACTTGTTTCCCCGCTACACCAGCCTTCGGCCAGGACCCCCACTCAATCCCCCGGATTTTCAGGGCCTGAGAGATGCACTGGATTCAGAGCATACCCGTCGCAAGGTGAGATATAAAGACTTCCTTTTGAAAGCAGCAAAGATTAGAAATAGGGCTGACTGTTAAAAAGGGCAGAGGGTTAAGGGCCCACAAGCTGGGACTTTGCTCAAATGGGTCTTCAGGGAGACCCCCTTTCACCATCCTATCTAAAATGGCACACCTCCCCTCCCATTACTCTGTTATTTCTTTCATATAGCTTATCATAATCTGATATATCTTGCTTGTTTTGCCCTTCTAAAATGTAAGCTGCTTGTTCAGCACTGTCTTCCTAAAGTTTAGAATATACCTAACATATAGAAACACTCCATAAGTGTTTGGTGAATGAACAATGAACTTTGTTGTTTTGTACAAAGGTTTTATAGTTGTTGATATAATGAGCTTTATCTCTTTGAACTTCAGCCTGTCTGAAGTGGGAAGAAAGAGGGATAAGGCAGAAGAAAAGTCAAAATCATTAGTTGTGTTGTCATTTTGGAACTCTCTCTTCTATTTTCAACTCCCTGGGCATGAGTGCAAGGCTTTTGCCTTTATCCTTGCTATGTTTAATCATTGTGTTCAATGAGCTTCTCAAGGCAGGAGTAACTTCCCACTCTGCAGCATGGGGTGCTGCTCCTTTACCAAAAGGCCCATGGAAATTTTTCTCAGGAGATCCAGGGAAGGGAAGAGCCTTGAGCTAAGCCCCTGCTTTCTGAGATGGCAGAGGAAGGTGTTGGAGGTCTTGGGCCTTAAGGTTCCTGCTCCAAAATTCCTGATTCTCCTCCATACCTATTCTGTTCTTGGGACAGAGCCCATTTCCCGTCTCCAGCCCATTTCCCCCTAGAGGAGCTGGAAAGTTTGGTGCTTTGGTCAGACTAAGAATGGCAATACTCAGTTTCCTTATCCTCTTCCCAGCATTGTGAGCGCCATATTCAGAGCCTGCAGACCCGAGTGCTAGAGCTTCAGCAACAGTTAGCTGTGGCTGTGACTGCTGACCGCAAGAAAGATATCATGATTGAACAACTGGACAAGGTGCCAGGGTAGCAGAATGTGGTGGATCTCTCCATGGGGCGCACCAAGGAATAGTAAATAGGGGGTGGCCAACCAACATCTCTTTGTTCATGCTAGGAGCTGGGTTAAGGTGTGGGTTTACTGACTACTGTGACTGTTAACCTTGCTTCTATGGGCAGAAAGAGGGCAAAAATATTATTTTGAAATGCCATCTGACTTTCTTCTCCTGAGACCCTGGCCCGTGTGGTGGAGGGCTGGAACCAGCATGAAGCTGAGCGCACAGAGGTACTTCGAGGACTCCAGGAAGAACGCCAGGCAGCTGAACTCACTAGAAGCAAGCAGCAGGAGGTGGGCAATATGGCATTAGAACCTAGGTCACTGATTGCTAGAATGAAGGGGGTAGAAATAGCTCTGGAATTAGGGTTCCTAACAGATTGACCTGAATCTTGCAGTAGCTGGCCTGACAATTCTCTCTTATTTCTGTTCCTTCACTGTTTCTGCTATCAAACTTGCATCACTGATGTCTTCCCAGCTCTCCCTACACCATGTAGTGTTTTTGGCCCTCAAGTAATTTAGTTAACTTTTGGTTTTAAAGTTTACATTGTTAATGCTTTTTGAAGTATAACATATAGAGATTCCCCTTAGTTCCTCTGTCCTATGTACCCCTCTCCCCAAAAGACAGTAACCCGCCTGGAACAAAGTCTTTCTGAGGCCATGGAGGCCCTGAATCGCGAGCAGGAAGGTGCCAGACTACAGCAACGGGAAAGAGAGATGCTGGTGAGAATGCTGAGTTGGGTTAATTCCAGAGGGCTATGGGCTGTTGGTGGATTGTGGGAGTTCATAACTTTAGTTGCACTAGGGCAGTATTTCCTGCTCTACAAAAAGGGCTCTGCCACCAAGTAAGTTTGAGACTGCAAATTATACCCTCACTAAATTATCTGGGGAATTATTATTATTATTTTTAAATGTATCTTTATTGATTTCAGAGAGAGGAAGTGAGAAAGAGATAGAAACATCAATGATGAGAAAGTCATTGATCAACTGCCTCCTGCACACCAGCTGCTGGGGATCGAGCTCGCAACCCCGGCATGTGCCCTGACTGGGAATCAAACCTCGATCTCCTGGGTCATAGGTGGATGCTCAACTACTGAGCCACGCCAGCCAGGCTGGGGAATTATTTTAAAATATAGATTTCTGGGCCCCATACCCAGAGATTTTGATTCAGTAGATATGCAGTGGGGTTTGGGAACCTAAATATTTTCAGAAATTTCCTAGGTGATTTTGTTCAGCCAGGTTTGGAAACTCTGGTCTAGGGCATAGCCAAAAAAGGTATGGGATGAGACTCATTCACATTTCTTATTGCTGAAATGATAAGGTGATTACCCATATGAATTAGTAGCCAAGTTTGGAACTTGTTGCATGTATGACACATGCTTGCTACATGCATACTGGTACTTAAAATCTTAACAGGCTGTACCCAACAATGTTGATGATGGTTGCTGGTTGGCTAGTACATGATGGTAGGCTGGATTTTTTATCCTTTGTGGAACTTCTTTTGATGATGGTGATAGCTATTGTATATTGAGTAATTACTATGTGCCAGACACTGTGCTAAATGCTTTACATACACTTTTTTTTTTTTTTTTTAATATATCTTTATTGATTTCAGAGAGAGGAAAGGAGAGGGAGAGAGAGACAGAAACATCAATGATGAGAGAGTCATTGATCAAGCCCACAACCCGGGCATGTGCCCTGACCGGGAATCGAATACTGATCACCTGGATCCTAGGTCGATACTCAACCGCTGAGCCACGCCCGGCCGGGCTACATACACTTTTTAAAAAAAGATTTTTAAATTGATTTTTAGAGAGAGAGAATGGAAGAGGGAAAGAGAGAAACAGATGTGAGAACAATACATCCATCAGCCGCCTCCTGCATGCCCCCTACTGGGGATCAAACCCACAACCCGGGCATGTGTCCTGACTGGGAATCAAACCAGCACCTTTTTTTTTTTTTTTTTTAATCCTCACCCAAGGAATGAGGATTTTTTTTTCCCCATTGATTTTAGAGCAAGTGGAAGGGAGGAGGCAGGGGGAGAGAGCGAGAGAAACATTGATGTGACAAAGACACATCGATTGGTTGTTTCCCACATGTGCCCTGACCAGGGGTGAAGATTAGACCTGCAACCCAGGTACGTGCCCTTGACTGGGAATTGAACCTAACATCCTCCAGTATGCGGGGGCAACACTCTAACCACTGAGCAACACTGCCCAGGGCTTGAACTAGCAACCTTTTGGTGCATGGGATGACGCCCAACCAACTAACCAACTGGCCAGGGCTACATATACTTTTTACTTTAATCTTTACAAGGTCGACCCTGATATTATGCCTGCCCATTTCACAGATAAGGATGTGTACCTAAGAACACATAGTAAATGACAGAGCTGGGATTCAAACTGAGATTGGAACCCAGATTTACCTATTTCTGGAATAGAAGCTCTTATCTACTATATTATAACTCACTGGGGGCTTTTGTTTTTGCTTTTTAAAAAAAAACATATCTTTATTGATTTCAGAGAGAGGAAAGGAGAGGGAGAGATAGAAACATCAATGATAAGAGAGCCATTGGTCGGCTGTCTCCTGCACCCCCCGACTGGGGATCGAGCCCACGATCCCGGCATGTGCCCTGACCGGGAATCGAACCCTAATCGCCTGGATCCTAGGTTGAAGCTCATCCGCTGAGCCAGGCCTGGGCATGCGGGGCTTTTGTATTTTTAATGGACATAATTCTCAGTGGGTACATTGTATATGGGTGAGGGGGCAGTTTGCTGGTCTCTTGAGGGCATGCTGAGGATCTTGGTTTTCTCCTGGGGCTATAGGAAGAGGAAAGGCAAGCTCTGACCTTGAGCTTGGAGCTAGAACAGCAGCGGTGCCGGGCCCTGCAGGAAGAACGGGATGAGGCTCGTGCTGGGCAAATCAGTGAGCATCGACAGTTGGAGACGCTTCAGGTTGCCCTAGAAGAAGAAAGGCAGACCTGGGCCCAGCAAGAGCTCCAGCTTAAGGAACGCTACCAGGCACTGCAGGAGGAGGGCAAGGCTCAGTTGGAAAGGGAGAAGGTAAAAGCTGTAGTTGGGGAATGGGGAACATATGAAGGGCAAAAAAATTAAATGAGATGTGATGTTAGTATATGGGGTGTTGAGGACTGGGATGGAGGGTGGAAAACTATATGTGGAGACAAGATGGAGAGTGTAGGGCCAGCTAGAAGGCTTGGGCATCAAATACACGGAAGACCAAAGAGTAAGATTAAACAGAGATTAGGAACTAGATCAAATGTGGAGAGGAAAAGGAAGCCTGGGTTTTAGGGTCTTAGGGTATGGAGGTGGAGATGAATTGCAGAATAGAAGTAACCAGGAGACAGGAAATTAGGTATGTACTTAAGTTTGATTTCGCTTTCTCAGGGGAACATGCAGAGGGAAGCGCAGGCCGCCCGGGAGGCCCAGCAGCAGCTGACATTGACGCAGTGTGAGGTGCGGCGGTTGGAAGGAGAGCTGGATACGGCTCAGAGAGAGAGAGATGCCCTGCAGCTGGAAATGAGCTTGGTGCAGGTCAGGAGAAGTAGCTCTGAGGCAGAGTGACCTTTTAGGAGTTATGACAAACACATTTCTAATTAGAATTTTGATTTTTATGGGCCTCTGTTTTTATGTGTAAAATGTGTGTTAAGGACAAATTAACAAGTTTCTGAGAACAAGTCAAATCTGAGAGACTTTTTGCCCTTATTAATGGTTGATTTAAGGAGATACTCAATTTCTGGGTTAGTTAGACCAGTGTTTGAACAAACACACTTCATTCACCTAGCCCATTGAATTGGAGGACTGACCGCATGGAAACTAATTTATCAAGGAGGCCAAGGGTAAAGATGTTAGTAAACAATTTATAAATAGCAATTTGTAAGCTGCTGTGAACTGGTGCTAGATGTATCTGTGTACTTGTGCATTTAATAAGCCTGTTAAATAGCCTCTCTATGAAAACTCTGTGCTAGGAGCTGGGGCTAGTCCTCACCAATAAGGAGCTCACCAGCTAGATGGGGAATTTTTCTAGTGCACACTTTTTTTTTTTTTTTTAATATATCTTTATTGATCTCAGAGAGAGGAAAGGAGAGGGAGAGAGAGAGATAGAAACATCAGTGATGATAGAGTCACTGATCAGCTAACCCGCAACCCGGGGAATCAAACCTGGATAGCCTGGATCCTAGGTTGATACTCAACCGCTGAGCCACGCCCGGCTAGTGCACACATTTTTGAAGTAGTATGGTAAACGATAATTGAGGTAAGGAGAACTGCTCTACTCATATGCCATTTTCTTAGTAAGGTCTTCCCCAACCACACTGAGTAAAATCTGTGACTGACCATCCGTTTTCCTTCCCTGTTAAACTTTTCTCCGAATATACTACATAGTGTACCTTTTAAAATCTTGTTTGTTTTCTATAAGGTCCACTAGGCCAAGGATTTTTGTCTATTCATTGTTAAATCCCAGAGTAGTGCCTGGCTTTAATGTTCAAGTCCTCTATTTCCTTAATGTTCTACTCATTATTGAAAGTGGGGTATTGAAGTCTTCAACTATTGTTGTAGAACTGTCTATTTCTCCCTTTAATTCTGTCAATTATTAATATATTTTGGGGTTCTCTTAGGTACATAAATGTTTATAATTATTATATCTTCTTTTTTAAAATGTATTTATTGATTTTAGAGAGAGAGAAAGAGAAAGATCCATGTCAGAGAGAAACATCGATTGGTTGCCTCCTGTATACACCCTCACCAGGTTGACTCTGCAACCTGGGTATGTGCCCTGACCAGGAATCAAACTGGTGACCTTTCGGTGCATGGGACGATGCTCAACCGAGCCACACCTGCCAGGGCGATATATCTTCTTAATACAACCTTTTTTCTTAAATCTTAAAATCTATTTTGTCTGACAATAATATAGCTCCTGAGCTCCCTTTTGTTTACTATTTGCATGGACTACCTTTTTTTCATCTTTTTACTTATAACTTATTTCCATCTTTGTATCTAAAGTGAGTCTCTTGTAGAAAATATATAGGTGGATCATGGTGTTTTGTTTTGATTTGTTAATCATAGGCATATACAAAATTCCCTATTTATAATTTATTTGTTTATAAATAATTACCTTTTTTTCAATTACAGTTGACATTCAATATTTTATATTAGTTTCAGATGTACAGCATAGTGGTTAGATATTTACAATTTATAAACTGATCCCCCCAATAAGTCTGGTACCCACCTGGCACCATACATAGCTATTACATTATTATTGACTATATCCCTACTTTATATCCCTGTGACTATTTTGTAACTACCAATTTGTACTTTTTAATCCCTTCACCTTTTTCACCTAGTCTGCCAACTATCCCCCTATCTGGCAACTATCAGTTGATTCTCTGTGTCTATGGGTCTGTTTCTATTTTTTTGTTTGTTCATTTATTTTGTTCTTGAGCTTCCACATATAAGTGAAATCATACGGAATTTATCTTTCTCTGTCTGACTTATTTCACTTAGCATAATACTCTCTAGGTCCATCCATGTCATTGCAAATGATAAGATACCATCCTTTTTTTCGGCCAAGTAATATTATACTATATATATATATACACCACAATTTTTTAGTCCACTCATCTATTCATGGGCACTTTGATTGCTGGGTAAAATAGTCTTGGTTGTAGGTCTTTGCTTTTTATCACTTTGAATACTTGTGTCAATCTCTTCTGGCTTGCAAAGTTTCTGTTGAGAAATCAGCTGACAGGCTTATGGGAACACCCCTGAAGGTAACTAATGGCCTTTCTATTGCTGTTTTTAAGATTCTTTGTTTCTCTTTAACCTTTTGCTTTTTAATTATGATGTGTCTTGGTGTGGTCCTCTTTGGGTTCATCTTGTTTGGGATTCTCTGCACTTCCTGGACTTATATGTCTATTTCCTTTGTTAAGTTAGGGAAATAATCAGTCACTATTTCTTCGAACAGGTTCTTTTTTTCTTTTTCTTTCTTTTTTTAAAAATATATCTTTATTGATTTCAGAGAGAGGAAAGGAGAGGGAGAGAGAGATAGAAAGATCAATGATGAGAGAGTCATTGATCAGCTACCTCCTACATGTCCCCTACTGCAAGTCGAGCCCACAACCCGGGCATGTGCCCTGACCGGAAATCGAAGCCCAATCTCCTGGATCCTACCTAGGTTGATGATTAGCCGCAGAGCCACACCCAGCTGGGCTCAAATAATTTCTTAATTCCTTCCCCTCTCTCTTTTGCTTCTGGTACTCCTATGGTGCAAATGTTGATAGGCTTGTATTTTTGTTTTGTTTTTAAACCATTGTCAATGTCTGCTCTTTTTTTGTTTTGACTTAATTTATCTTTATTGTTGAAAGTATTACACATGTCCTTTTTTACCCCCATTGATCCCTTCTACCCTGCACACCACCCCTCCTCCAGGCCTTCACCACACTATTGTCTGTGTCCATGGGTTATGCATAGATGCATAAAAGTTCTTAGGTTAATTCCCTACCCCACCCCCACCTTCCCTCTGAGATTCGTCAGTCTGTTCCATGCGTCTATGTCTCTGGATCTATTTTGTTCATCAGTTTATTTCATTAGAAGTAAGATCATGTGATACTTATCTTTTTCTGACTGGTTTATTTCTCTTAGTATAATACTCTCCAGGTCCCACCATGCTGTCTCAAAGGGTAAGGAATTCTTTTATACAGCTGCATAGTATTCCATGGTGTAAATGTCCGAGAAGATGCTTGATATGATTTTATTCTTCTTGAACTTGTAGAAACTTGTTTTGTGTCCTAACATAAGGTCTGTCTTTGAGAATGTCCCATGTGCACTTGAGAAGAATGTATATTCTGTAGCTTTGAGGTGAAGTGTTCTGTAAATATCAGTTAAATTCATCTGATCTAGTGTATCATTTAGAGTCACTGTTTCCTATTCTGCCATTTTTCATGACATCACTCTATTTTTGTTTTTTAATTCTATTTTCTAAAAATAAAACACTGCCAGAAAACATTATTAATATTGTTCTATAAAGTCAATATACATTTAGAGGTGACTACATAATTACTCCTTTCTTTGCTCTTTTTCCATTTCTTGAACTCAGATCTTCCATCTGGAATCTTTTTCTTGATGTCAAAATCTCTTTCATTTATTTATTTTAGTTTGAAAATATCTTTATTTTACATTCATTTTTGAAGGAATTCTTGGGTTGGCAGTTATTTCAAAATATTGAAAATATTCTGGTTTTCATTGTTGAGAGGTGAACTATCAGTTCATCACTCATAATTTAAATTTTTGTCTTTGTTTTTATTAGTTTTACTTGGCTGTGCTTAGTGTGCATTTAAAAAATCCTTTATGGAATTCTTTAGGCTTCTTGAAATAGATTGGTGTCTTTCATAAGTCTGGAAAACTCTCAGTCATTATCTCTGCATATTGCCTCTGCTCCATTGTCTCTGCCATATCTTTCTAGACTCTGATTAAATATATGTTAACCCCTGTATCTATGTTGCTCACTCTTTGTTTCGTATTTTCCATTTTTTGTGTTTTAATGCTCACTCAGGGTAATTTCCTATCTACCTTCCAGTTCACTAATTCTCTATTTAACTTTGTCTAATCTACTGTTAACCCACACATTGAGTTTTTAATTTTTAATTTTATGAAGTACTATTTTTATTTTCAAATATTAATTTTCCATAGTTTCTTGTTCTCTGATATTTTTAAGTATGTCTTTAATTACTTTAAACACAATTTTATCCTCTGTAGGTGATAATTTCAATATCTAAAATGTTTGAGGATCTTTTTCTGTTGTCTCTTGTTTTTGCTGGCTTTCCTGGAGTCCAGTTTTTTTTGGTTATTTTTAACCATGTGTTGGACCTTGTATTTGAAAAATTGTAGGAATAATTTGAGGCTTACAATGAAAGTACTTTGCTCCAGAGAAGATTTGCATTTGCTTCTACCAAGTCCTGAGAGACACTATAAGTCCATCACCAATTTAAATTAAATTTTCAATGGTTGGGATTACTCAAGTTGAGCTTCAATTTTGAGGAGGGTGTTCCACTTCTGGTTCACTTTCACCTTGAGGATGAAGCTCATTTGAGTCTCAGCTTATTGTGAATAGAGTCTCCAGTTAGACTCCCCAACTTATGTGGGCCTTGGCCTTTGATTTCTGATTTTCCCTTGAAACTCGATCAAAATAAAGGTTTTAATTTTCTAGGGTAGGTAAATGCCTCCAGGGCAAAAATGGCTGTCTACCATGCTTGCTAGCATGGCTAGGTGCTCTCTCTCTTTCACCCTTTGGCCTGTTGATTCTATACTGTTTTGTTACCTCTTTGATGCTTTTTAGGAAGATTTTCTATATAGAGAGAAAAATAGAATTAAATTTTTAAATTTTATTTAATTTGTTTTTGTGCAGCAGGAGAGTTAATCTGAATAACTTAACCTGCTAGTACTAGAAACAGGAGAATCTAATTGCTTTCTTCTTATACTCTGAAATAGTCTGTAAGGTGTGCTTCTTGAATATTTGATATTTGGTGACAGATTTTGCT